AATACAAATAAAGTACCAGGAAAATTTAGTATTCAAAATACCATCCTTATTTATAAATTTGAATTTGCACAAAATACCTTTTCATGAAGCAAAGCACTTCTCTACTGAAACAAAACAATGATTTCTGGACAAAAAGAAAACAAAAAAGCATTTAATTAATGGATGTCAGTAAGACATTCACCTCACTGCATGACCCTGGACAAGGCTGCTCTCTAAGAAGAAAGCCCAGATTCTTTGAATATAAAAATGAAGCTAGCTTAGACTTTAAGAATTTGAAAGATAATAATCAAGTCACCAAGTCAACAATACTGGGGTGGGATGGAGGGTCAGGGGGAGGGCTAGGGCTGGTGCTGCGGCATAGTGGTTAAACCACCACCTACAACACCGGCATCCCATATGGGCACTGGTTTATGACCTGGCTACTCCATATCCATTCCAGCTCCCTACTAATGTGCCTGGGAAAGCAACGAAAGATGGCCTAAGTGCTTGGGCTCTTAGCCCTAGTTGTTCCTGATGAAGCTCCTGGCTCCTGGCTCCTGGCTCCTGGCTTGGGCCTGGCTAAGCCCTGGCCAGTGCAGCCACTTGAGGAGTGAACCAGTGGATGGAACATCTCTCTCTCTCTCTCTCTCTCTCTCTTTTTTTCTCTGTAACTTTTTCAAATAAAAAAATGTTTAAAAAAATTACAAGGACCAACTCTTCGTAGTCAAAAATTCAAAATTGAAATATTATTGCTCAACAAAGGATTAGTGGTTATACAAGCCAGAATACAAAGAAAGGAATATTTAAAATATGAACATCAGGGTGGAAATCGCAGCACAGGGGGTAAAACTGCAGTTTGCAACTCCCTTATCCCATATACCTGCGAACAAGTCCCACCTTTGCCTTCCCACCCAGCTTCATGCTAATATGCCACTTGGGAGACAACAGGTTATGCCTCAAGTATTTGGGCCCCTGAACCCACCTGGGAGAATTGTATTGAGTTCTAAGCTCCTGGCTTTAGCCTGACTCAGCCCTGGCTGTTGCAGGCTTTTGAGGAGTGAACTAAAGGATGGAAAAGTTCTTTGTTCTCTGTCTCTCTTTCTCTCTCTCTCCTTTTTTTCTTTGTCTCTCAACCACTCTGCCTTTCACATAAATAAAAATGAATAAACAAACTTAAAATGATTATTGTGAAAATATGCAAGGAATGATGTAACACGGTTAGATATTCAAAAATATGAAAAGCTATGGAATCTGAAACCCTTCTGGTCCCAAGTAGTTTGGACCTGGTACATTCAATCTGTGGTATCTAAGGCTGGAGCCATTTTCTTGTCCTTGTCCTTTGATCTGGCACACACTGCTTGTACACAGGAACTGAGGGAGGTGTGTGAACCCTGTGGAGAGAGTGCTGGCGCCCCGCTGTGGTGTAGGAGAGTCATTGCTTCCTCCCTATCAGATTACACTCTGCATCTTAGGGGTAACACATTAAACCTCTGGCACTGGGAAAAATCCAGTGTGAAGAGACATATGCCTGCTCCTTTATATAGAAGTTTCTGGAGTTTCCATACTCAGCAACTCTTCACTCCACTACCAGTCCTTTGTGGCAAGAGACAGAAAGTTAAGCCTTGGGTTCCTCAGAGACTTCCGGTGTAGGGAGTGTTGGATTTAAGATCAGTCTTGCATTAAGTGAGGATCTTCATCTCTTCTGCATAGAAAACACATTTATGCTTTTAAGGTGCATGTCCTCTTAAGCTAACTCAGCTTTATTTCCATGGTTTCTTTCACTTACATTCAGAGACAATTCCAAAGTGAGTCCCAGAGTTGCAGGAGATGCTCTCCTGCTTGCTGGCTGCTGCTTCCAGTTAAAGGAATTTAATGACTCCATTAAATGCATATGTTATTGTAATAGACCACTTTAGATCAAAGGATGGACAAAGGATTCATGGCTTTACCTAAGAAAATGAATAAATTCCTTGCAAATGCATTGATGCTACAATAAGGTCAATCTTAAATTAGGTAATTATTTTTTCTGAAAATATTTGGAAACCTTATGGTATCATTGGATTCTCACAGTATTTGGGTATAAGGAGGGAAAATATAGACATGGGAGATTCCTAAAGATGAACCAGGGTATTGGAGGGAAAGAGTTCACATGAAACTAGGGCGAGTTCATATCTACTCCACAACTTAGCTGACCATGAGAAAGGCCTGCAGCCCAGGTCCCTAAGGCACAACAGCTATTAACTTTCAGTCAAATCACACATTTTGTCCATCCAACATACATTCAGTGGGTACTTGCTGTATTCCAAACGTTGTTCTAGGAGCTAAGGATAAAAGAACAAATTGAACAGACCAATGGACCCTGCCTACCTGCATGGAACCTCTCAGTGGCTGAAAAATGAAATGATTAAGTGCTGAGAAGGAAAGTATGGGAGACATCAAAGAACTTTCAAAGGGACTCCAAGAGTCCAGAGAGCAAGCGCAAGGTAAGACTTCCTCGGGTTTCTTACCTATGAGGGGAGGCTCTCAGAGGAGTTAGCAACTGAAGGGAAGTAAGAAGGCTACAGGATGTGCAAGGGGGCAGGGTGTACAAAGGTCCTGAGGTGTGAGGGAAGCTGGAATATTGGTCGGTTTATAAGGGCAGTAGCGGGAGAGAAAGACAGAGGTCAAATCAACTAAGTCACTGTGGGATTTTGGTGTTTCCAAATGGCCTCAGAAAGCACTAACAGATTAAGTTGGAAGAGAAGCTTATCCTGGCTTTGAGTCATTCCATGGCAATAGTAATGGGTTGCAGTGTTATCACCATTGGGGCTGAGCCTGTAGGGCAGTGTCAGCATAAGGGCACCATATAATTTTACCTGCTTTTGGGAAATGAAAAAAGATTGTTTTCCAAATGAAGTCATCTTCCATTTACAAGACTAAGTAAGGGGATATACTTTTTTTCCAACTGTAAGGAAAAATGAATCACTTTTAGCTGCAGTAGCATAGATTTATAAAGTTAAATATACACTGGAGTCTAATCTCTGCTGGTACTATGGGCAGGAAGGTTCCAGAAATTTAGATCTATCATTCATCTTCCTGTTTATGATGCACAATCATTCTTAACAGCGTTTGTGTGACTCAAACTCCTAGACATTACTGTCTGAATGTGGACTTGCCCTCTGACTTCACTAAGCTCACAGAACTGGCTACAGTTGCTTACTACAATTAAAACTTCATTCTGCTTTGACTTTCTAAAAACAGCGGCTATAAGAATCTGTATCTGCAAGCACCTGAGAAAATAGCCCACAGTTTACAGGCAACTACTCACAGGGTGGAGGGTGGAGTGAACCCAGGCTTAGCATGGGCAGGTCTGAGGGCGAATTCCTTCCAAGAGCCTTATTTATTTGATTTGTAAATTTGAATGGGTCTGCCTGTCTGCTTTAAGACATTTCTGTATCTGTGTTTCTTCATCAGGAATAGAATGGGTACAAGAGTATCTGCTGCTCTCCTTGGATGTTGAGATGATTACGAAAGGTAGAAGTCGAATGCCTTGCTCAGAACTTTCTGCTTACGGGTACCCAGTTTAAAGCACAATAAAACGAACAGCTCTTATTTTCCCCTTTTCCTCTCTCCCAAGGATACGAGTGCTACATATTTTTATTAAGTTTCTGGCGAAAAGGGAAGAGGAAGCTGAGTTTTGGAAGTATTGGTGATTCTTCTGAAGAAGGCAGACCGTGTCTAGATCCAATTCTGTTGCACTTCGGAAAAACAAATCTCAATAAAATATTAACTGCCCTGTGTCTTCTCTGAGAATCCTTCCCAGTCCAAAGGATCTTGTCCTGCATTCCCTCTTAGGCTCACAGATAACTGTTTTTAAGTTGCACCTGCTCGATGAATATATGATGTGTATATGTGTGTATGTGTGTGTACAGATATACTTCCAAAAGGTTTCATTTCATAAATACCGAAGAGAACACGGTTTCAGTGACTAGAGAGGCAGCTGGCCTGCTTTTGTGTTCATTTCGGTTTTGGATGCTAGAGACAGCAGGAGCACAGCCCGCGGAGCACAAGGCGCCCTTTCCCAGAAGGCTGCGCCCCGAGGCGGCGGCGAGCGCTTGGCGCTGGAAGACGCAGCCCTTTTAGCTCCAGTCGAATCGCGCTGCCTCGTCCTTGCCTTTCCAAACCACAGCCCGTCCTGTAATTAGCGGAGCAAGTCCATCCGAGCTAGGCAAATCACTGGTTTTCCATGAAATGATTATATTGCTGATGCTCTGGGACTTGTACGACACCTCTCGGCCTAAAAACAGAAAAAGCCTTTTTATTTTTTTCTTTTTCATGAGCTGGGGGAGGGAAAAGAAAAGTGGAAGCGACAGTGTTACCAGGAGTGAGACCACTACAAAGAGGGAAAGAACCGGATTCTGTGGGGGCGTGAGAACAGGAGGCTCCGCACCAGGCATTTCGGTGCGCAGAGAGAATGCCTTGTACCCGCGGTGATAACTCCCGGAAAGGGAACAAAACCAGGCTTTTCTAAACTTTCTGTACATCCAGACGTGCTCCCGCTGCGTCCCGCCTGCGCGGAGGGCACCCCTACTCCACCCGCGGGGCTTCGGCTCCACACTGAGCCCGTGACGCCTCCTCGAGCGCCCAGCGCACCGGGGTGTCCCCTTACAGGAGCCTGCGGGGGGAAAGGGCGCGTAGCGTGGGTCGCGCCGGTCCCTTCCTTGGATGGACGCCCGACGCTACCTCCGGGGCGGGGACAGCTCTGGCCACCGTGCGCCCTGCGCGGCGATTCCACCCACACTGCTCGCCGACTCTGGGGGCGGCGGGGTTTGGCACGCTGTGCCGGCAACAAGGGAGCGCAGCCGTCGCCCCTGCGGCCCCTGGGGCCCCGCGTCGCCCGCGGGCTCGGGCAGGTGCGCCAGCCGCGGCCTCGCGTCCTCCCGCCTCGAGGCCCGGGCGCCGCGCCCGCCCCGCCCCTGCCCCCGCCCGCGGGCCGCCCGGGGCAGGGCCAGCCACTGCAGCCGGCGAGCCGCGGACCGGGCATGGGACGGCAGCCGCAGCGGAGGGCGGCGGAAGGCGGCTGAGGGTGGCTGAGCGACCCTGCCGTGGCCTCCTGTGGCCGTGCGCGCCCGCGGGCCTGTGCGCCTGTTCGCGCCCGGGACTCAGGCCGCCGGCTGCAGACTCCCGACCCCTCCGCGGCGGTGGGTGGCTCTGACTTCGCCGCTTCCGAGGGGCCGAAAGGGCGTGCGCTATCCCGGCGCGATGCGCTGAGCGTTCAGAGCCCCAGACGTCCGGCTCGCGGGCTGCCCCCGGAGCGGACCTCCATGGAGTCCGCGGGCACCGGGCGGAGCCTGCGAACGCCGCCGCCTCGGCTGCTGCTGCTCCTGCTCCTGCAGGTGGCGGGGCCAGCGGGCGCCCTGGCGGAGACCCTGCTGAATGCGCCGAAAGCCATGGGCACCAGCTCCAGCCCGCTCAGCCCCGCGAGCGTGGTGGCTCCCGGAACGACAGCATTCGAGGAAAGTCGACTGCCCGTGTTCACCCTGGATTACCCCCATGTGCAGATCCCCTTCGAAATCACCCTCTGGATCCTGCTGGCTTCCCTGGCCAAGATTGGTGAGCGAGCTGGACCCTCGGGTGGGGGCAAGGACGAGCCAAAGGGGCACCCCCGGAGGGTGACGGAGTGGGCGACACGACCTCTCGCTCGTGGCCATCTCCCGGTGGACGCAGGTAGAGGCCCCTGTGCTGGCTGCGGAGGGCCCTGGCAAGGATCGCTTGCATGTTTTGGTTCTTGAGTGGGTACTGTACTGGCTCATACACACTTGTGATTTGCTGCTTTCTTCTGCGTAAAATGCCAGGTTGGACGGCCCCTCTGCCAGAGTCGAGGGAGACCTGTTAAAGGCGAGGGCAGCCAGCAGGTTGAGTGGTGTCCGTCTCACCCACAGGGAGAATTGCAGATGAGCTCCGATGCTAAAAATGGTTAAAGAACTGGATGCTGGGGACAGGCGCGTCTCAGCAGTGACACAGACCAGCCGCGCACCTGACTAATGAGGTGCGTGGAAGGGGACCAGGGACACCTGAGCGCTTGAAGCTGCTACAGGAACGCCCTGTCTCCTCCCTCTTTGGGGCTAGGGCTGCCACTGTCACTCGCCAGGAAGCGTTAGCTTGAGAAGTTGACGGAGGCCAGAGAAGGGAGATAATTGGAACCAATGGACCAACTTCTCACGCCATCCTCAACTCTTATTTAAAAAGCAGAAACTTCGCAATTTGTTTTTCTCATCTCCATTACTCTCCCACCCTCCCCCCCCCAAAAAAAACACCTGTTATGATCATGGTACTTTCTGTTTATTTTAGATTTTAAAGACTTTTTAAAAAATCTTCACATCGAATAACTGCTCTTGTTAATGTTTAAGAAAAAGAAACTTTGAGAGCTAATCATTGTGTGCCTTACATGTTTTCTGTGGTTGCCCTGGCTGCCAGGTGAGGCAGTTTTTCATAAAAGATAGACGCACTGCTTGTCCTCCGGGGGAACGTACTGATGGGTGGAGAGTGACAGAGACATCCACTACAGGGATTATAGCACAGGAAAGTGCTGAATAGAGGGAGACACACAGGAAAGATAATACGGAAGTGCAAGGAGGCAAGGGGGGAAGGATTTACACTGGATTTTCGAGGGTGGCCAGGATCCCATTCGTTGGAGATGATTGGGAAAACATTCCAGAGAAGGGGGTGGGGGGTTATACAGGGAATGTGAGCAGGGAAGTGCAAAGCAGGTGGAAGGGATGGATTACAAGAGGGTGAAGTTGTGGGAAGCTTGAAGCACACCTTCCATGTCAGATTAAACCAATGAGATGCCATTTGGTGACCAAAGGAGCCACATGCTATGTAATGACTTTGCAGTCTGTAATCGCCGGCTTGGACATGGTCCTACTAGTTGAGTGTTTTAATTCTACCCAAGCAATGCTATAAGGGAAGTGGACTTCCCCATCTATCAAGCAGATATGCAGATGTAGATAATTTTGTGGTCTCTAATAATAAAGGGAGATGCCATCTCTTCCGGCAGTCTTTGCAACAGCCCTGTGGGGGAGGGAGTGCATGCACTGATCCTCCCGCTTGGTAGAGGTAGAAACGGAAGCACAGAGAGTTTACACCCAGGGATTCGTCAAGTGAGGGGCCGAAGGCAGCGTTCTGCTCGCTCCCTCGCTCTGAGCCTGCAGCCTCAATCCCCGGAGGGCTGCTTCTGTGCCCTGTTTACATGACTGCTTCTCTGTCACCCATTCTGTTCCATCTCCTTCCTCTGTTATTCACTCCTGATTATTTTAATCAGATTAATCGCACTAATGACAGCTGCTAGTAGGCACTTAAGTTCATTATCTCTCATTTGCACAACCACCATCACAGGTAGATGTGATTACCTTGTTTCATATAGGAAGTGACTGAGAAGTGGGCAGGTTGATTTGCCTGCGGGTGGTAAGGCAGAATGCCAACCAGGTCTGTCTGAGGCTCGTTTTGGAGTCTGTCCTGGAAACTTGTTTCATTGGGAGGATTAATTGAGAAGGGCTGTGTCCATCATTCTTGGAGCAGTGCTGAGCAAGGAGTAGGCGTTTCGTCAGTGTGGCCATCAGTAGTAGCAGTGACCGTGGTAGTGTCCACCAGCGGCAGTGGTAATGGTGCTCTTTCTGGCACTTCAGCTCCCTTTCTGCTGTCCTGGGATGCCGCCCCTGGATCTCTTGTCTTAGCCTCAGCCCTGTTCAAGTGCTCTTACTCTGCGGCTTGTCTTTTTTGTCCTTGCTGTCTGACTGTCGTGTTTCATACATTTTGTTTGACCTTATCACGTTAATTGTGTGATATTTTCTCAAACGCCGTTCACGCTTGCTTGTGTCAGAGCTTGCAGGTGTAACACTATGCCTGTTAGCAGCGTTCTTGGCCCACATGCGATTGTGTTGCCTGGCACTTCTCTTCTGCTTGCCCTCTCCTGTGTTCTGTTTCACTCTGGAGATTATTACACCTGGCCCTGAGTGCGTGCTACCCATCTGCCTCTGCGAATTCCGAATGCCTACTGCAGCTACTACTTGACCTTTCCTTTGTGTCTTGGGGCAGTGAAGATGTGACAACACAGATGTCCATGATGCGAATCCAGACGGTCTCAGTAGCCAGTTACATACTCACTGCCATGGGTGAGGTGAAGGGCAGCGTTCTCAGGGCAGAAAATGGGAGTTTGGGGTTCCAAAAATCTGGCACTTGGGGCATTTGGTCAGTTTCTTCTTGCACAGCTCATCCCTGACCTGCAGCTTCAGCTTTGTTCCCAAAGAAGCCTGGAAGTGCCCAGAAATCTTCAACCCCATCTCCTGCCTGGTCCAGGGCCCTGGATCTTCTGTAGGGCTCTGGGCAAGATTGTGCTGGTGCCACAAGACATTTTTACAGCACCTTAAAGTGTCATCAAGTCTTTAAAATTTGCAATTTTAACCTTGGCCTGGAAAATTTGCTACTTTGGTTTAAGTCACATGACTTAAATTGCTCATATTGGGGAAGGGTGGTGAATTGATCTTTGCAGGGGGATGTGCGGCTGCGTGGTAGCACAAATGCTGATGCACGTGAGATACTGTGATTTCCATTTGGGGAACTCTTAAGTCATGGTCCCTCATGTGTTTCAACTCAGCTGCCCCTAGAGAGCATGGAGAAACACTACTAGTGATTTCTCTAATCAAGGATCTCAGGTGACCCAAAGGAGAGGCTCCTAATACCATTTGTAGGCAGCTTAAATAATGCTTGGTGGGCAATTCAGAAAAAAAAGTTTTCCAGACTACAGCACAATGTGCTTAGAAATATTCCAGTCGGAAGTGATAGAATACTTGTCTGGCAAAGTCTTGAATGATTCCGATTAACCTTTCATTGTTTTACTTGGTTACCAGGGAAAACCAACTTCGTAATCATTTAGTTAAATGAAAAGTAATTCTGTAGTTATAAATTTTCCTAAAATGATAATGTGTGTATTTGTGTATGCTCATATGAAATAGGTTTTTTAAAAAAAGGCAAATAAAGGAACCTGGCAAATTTAGTACACCTTGGAAAACTACATATTTTGGCAAGAGACATTTCTTAATTTTTTAAATAAAAGTGTTTGGTTTTATTTATTTCCAAGGCAGGGGGAAGAGAGAGAGAGAGAGAGAGAGAGAGAGAGAGAGAGAGAAGAGAGAGATCGTCTATCCACTAACTCCTTAAATGCCCCCAATGGTAGAGTTTGAGCCAGGCTGAAGGCAAGAAGCTGAGAACTTGGTTTGGGTCTCCCAAATGGGTGAAAGGGATCCAGGTACTTGAGCTGTCACCTGTTGCCTCCCTGGATGTTCACTAGCAGGAAGCTGGAGTCAGGAACAGAGCTGGAACTTGATCCCAGGCATTCCGATACGGGTTGCTGGTGTTCCAATCCACATCTTAATCTCTGTGCCAAATGCGTACTCCACGTTTCCTAATTTGTTCACTTAGTCCTCATCACATGCACTCTTATTTTTTCACTTTGAATATTTATGTTTTGAACAACCATTGATTATTTTCACAGTTATAAACACACTCTTTGCTTAGTAAATTCTGTACCTAAGGCTGATGTTTTACAGTCTGGAACAATAGGTAGCCAAATAAATAAGAAGGGAAAAATGCTCTGGTGTGTTTTAAGATTGTCACCTCTGATTTTCTTGCCCATGAAGTGTGTCTGTGGGATCTGTGTTAATATGAGTGAACTTGGGAATGCATTCTATCTTTGCTCAAGACTTGAGGGTAGAGCTGTCTAAAGTATCAGAGCCACCTTCTTTTTTCTAGGGTTCTCAAATACCAATCTCCCTGTGTTGGGGTCTTTCTTCCCCCCTTTTTGATAGAGAGAGAGGGAGAGAGAGATCTTCCATCCACTGATTCACTCCTCAAATGTTTACGACAGCCTAGACTGGGCCAGTTGGAAGCCAGGAGCAAAGAATTCAGCCAGAGTTTCCTAGTTGGGTGGCAGGGACCCAAGTGCTCAAGCCATCACCTGCTGCCTCCCCGAGTGTACATTAGCAGAAAGCTAAAGTCTGGAGCAGAGCTGGTACTCGAACCCAGGTACTCCAGGATGGGATGCTGGCATCTCAAGTGACGTCTTCACCACTGCGCCAAGTGCCTGCCTGTCTTCTGGGATCTTGAAGGGTTGATCTTTTTGCTTCGGCTCCCAGGTGCCCCTTTCATTTCCTTCACCCCTAAACTTGGGGTTACAATGCACAATTTTTAACTTTCCCTTCACCCTTCCACTTGGAGGTTAAATAACTTCTATTGTTACTTGAAGGGAAAGGCAGATATCAGTTTAGTCCATGAACTTGGGCTCCAGGTGCTCCTGAATTTTAAAGAGTTTATTTATTCATTTGAGAGGTAGAGTTACAAATGAAGAGAGAGGTCTTCCATCACTGGTTCACTCCCCAGATGGCCACAAAGGCCAGAGCTGAGACATTTAGAAGCTAGGAGTCAGGAGCTTCTTCCGGGTCTCCTGCATGAGTGCAGGAGCCCAAGTACTTGGGCCATCTTTCACTGCTTTCCCAGGCCATAGCAGAGAGCTGGATCGAGAAAGGAACAGCTGGGACTAGAACCAGCGCCCATATGGGATGTCCATGCCACAGGTGGAGGCTTAGCCTAGCATGCCACAGTGCTGGCCCCTCTCCTGAATTTTAAATGTGAAACCCCAGAGTTTCATACATGCTTAAATAGTTTTTGAT